GACATATGTAGCTTTTGCGAAGCAGATAATTGGTTTCGCTTGAATTACACTGAGGAGTTGAAAAGCATACTAATGCAGATAGAATCATGGGCCAAAATGCAGCATGTAAAAACTTTTGGCTGAGATGCTGGTAAGAGCGCAAATAACTTTTATTAATCTTGTTTTAAACCATACTTTCTTGATAAATGACCGACCATATTGAGATTAAAAAAAATATTCATCGCTGCCACAACTACTTGAAGCTCGAAGAGTTACCACTTAAAAATGATATATTTTTATGATGTATTTTGGCACGAATTTGCGTCATCTCTTGTCAAATTTGGTTTGGCGTTGGGGCATCTTCTGTGTCATTTTTCATTCTCGACAATATATCATTCACCCAGCCTTTGGAAACAACAAACAAAAACGAACTTTAATTTTATCTATTTTATTAGATTGATAATAGCATCGAGTCCGTGAATGCTTCACAGGCTGCACAAATGTGGTCTGGTGGTATATTGCCCCAGTGGCGGCGAAAAGCAATCTTCAACGGGTTGATACCTTGGCCTCGATAATGGACCACAGGGGAAAAAAGTCTATTGGGTTTAAGTCCGGTAAATATGGTAGCATTGTTGGGAAGAGATAAAGCTTGGAATCTTATTGAAACTTCCAATGGGTTTTACCGAATTTGTTCTCGGGTTCAAGGTAATAAAGCATCGTTTAAAATCCTTTCACGCGAGTTCACATTCGTTCGGCATGAGCAGCACTCCCGGCTACATCGAACAGTAATACAATATTGTTAAATTGTTACTAGTTTTTATGTTGAGCTGATGTTTTTAAATAAACAAGTAAAAAATAAACAAAATTTTACCATTTTTCATTTGTAACACATACCCCCGTATACTTCGCTGGTAATTTTTTACAATAAATTGGTTACTTTTTGAATACTTGGTATATGTGCAAACATTTTACTGATGCTCAGTGAATTTTACGGTGAAAATAGAAAAACAATTTTCGTTATCTTTGGTCGTTAGAGCAAAGAAAGTTCATCTAAAGTTATAAACTATCAAGAAATGTGATGAAATGCTAAATTTGTATGGAAACCCGGTGTATTTATCATTTTATCACATTTGTCTTCAGTTTATCACCTTAGAAGAAGTACCATGTTGTCAAAGAAAAAAGGGACTAAGCTCATCATAATTCTGATTAATCAAAAAATACCCCGAAAATATTCGAAATGTACACACTAAAGATTTCTTACCACTCTTACGTTCGCCACCCATATTTTAATATTTCATATAACTTGCGCATAATTTAATTTAATTCGACTTTACAAATAGGTGGAAACCCATTTCTAAATATTTTCAAACTAAAACATTCTTAACCCTCTTTCGTCTGACATCCATATAATGATACATATTGCAATAACCTAATTTCCGTAATTCAAGTTGAATTTAATTTTTTAAACATAGTCAGTTTTGAAAATGGAACGAAGAGTGCACATCTGATAACGTTATTATTATCTAATAATCTAATCTAAATCTTAATCGTGACCAATTATCACCGTCGTCCCCCACCTTATCGTTGTTGTTGTAGCGGTAGAACTAAGCCCCGCCTATTTCAGTTCAGCCTTCAATTATTGTCGTCAAGCTCAACTAACGGTAGGCCCAGGAAACGGGCTGTTTCAATAGGGTCGGACCAAAGGGAGTGGGGTTGAGTAGGATTGAGCTGTCATGTGAAGAGATGGTTGGTGTCAGGCGGGGAGTCTCCGAATTCCGGGCACTCATTGAGGATATTGGGGTCGAGTCTGGACAGGAAGCTGTTGAGGCGGCTACAATATCCAGGCCGTAACTGAGCCAGGGTAACGCGGGTCTCTCTTAGCAGTTGAAGCTGCGTCTCTTCTATAGGTTGTGATTGGGCTCCGACCACGGAATTCATAGGTCGGGAGTTGAGGAAGGAGGTGACCGACTCCCTATGAATGTCGTTGACCGCTCGCCTGTACGTTGTCGGGTCCAGTGGTTGGCCTACGTATTTCTGGACTGCGTCCTTGTACACGAAAAGGTGCCTACTGATGTGCCTGGGCGGAGGCTCCTCCTCCAGCTGTGGCCTGCTGAGGTGTTCACTTCTGCGGCAGCCCACCAGAAACTGCTTGGAAAGCATTTTGTAGTGCTCTTTTACTGGGAGCAGTTTGGTCTCGCCGTGTAGGTGGTGCTCAGGACACATCAGTCACCCAGTCGCTGTCCGGAGTGCGGCATCCTGACAAGTCTGTAGCTTCGTCCACTGCGTCCAACTAGTCCCCGGCGACCAAACTGGTGCTGCATAATTTAGAACCGTTAGGCAAGGTGGTAGGTGAAGTACGGGTGTAGCAGGGCCTCTAGTGTCTTCGTGACCGGGGAAAGGAGCGTTATCGGGCGATATAAGACTTCTTTGTCGGCGGGCTTCCCCGGTTTCAGCAGTTGGACCAGTCTTCCTGATTTCCACACATCAGGAATGATGAGAGTGGCCATTGACATGTTGAGGACCTCCGTTAGGTATGCGACTCCCGCGGGCCCCAAATGTT